TTTTTTGCACCCTCAGATTCCAGATTTTCCAATAGTTGTATCTCGGCCAAATATTGTCCTATCATAACAAACATAAATACATACATAAATACATAAATCATAACATACATAAATGGAAAGCTTATTTATTCAGCTTTGAGGTGGTGTATAAATCTCAAATTTTAAAAAATTGACCCTTATGACTGGTTTTGTGCTCCAGGGTCACATTTAGTGTTCAGAGTTTGTTTTTATTTAAAAGATAAGTACGTCTTTTACCCATCATGATTCACAAGAAGTAGAATGCCGCTTTTTTGTTGGAGTTTATTCACTATGAACCAGTGACCCATATGATTCACATGAACTGAATAAACATCCATTATCGGTAAGACTTTCAGTAAATGCGCATTTACTAAAAACCAGCAGCCTCACGGCTTTGTGAGAGTGAAATTCAGTTCATGTGCAGGGTCCTCCATGCGCCGGGAATTACCCAGCTGTTAACCGCATCCCACGTCACGCGCCACATGGTCTTTCTATGGCACTGCATGACAACCAGACATCAAGTTTGTTTGGAGTTTCATTAAAAGAGGTTGGCAGCGGTGACGGAAGCAAATAAAGCTGTGATTAAATTTGGTGCTGTGGATGGATTTCAGAAAGCAATCTCAAAGCCTATTGTCACAGGGACGGTAAGGGTGTCGTTTGCCACCTCTGCGAGCTCGCCAGCACCTCTTGATCAAGCACACGCTGACAGCATGGTGGACTGCTGTACTGATGTTTTACACACCAAGTCACATTCAGCCTCAGGGTCCAAAAAACTGTTAAAGCTGCTGCTTCTCAGTCAAAAATGGATGAAACTAAAGAGGGCGTATCATAGAAAACATGATTTTCTTTGCTCTTCTTATACTCTAACATGATGGTCCTTCTTAAATCCAGCGTTTATGGAAACTAGGCTGCAAAAACATGTTTTTCAGAAATCATCATGGTATCTATGGCATCACAATGGCCACTTATTATTCAGCAGCTTCACACACTGTTGTGACAGACAATGTGAACTACGTTGGTATGCAGAGGGTCAACCAATCAGAACAGAGATCA